CGACAGGGTCACTGAGAGGCGCGCTTGCGTCCCATGCAGGCGCGCTGCAGCGCAGCACCATCGGCAGCTGGCAGCTGCCATCATGATGTCTGCTCTGTATCCCCACTCCACCACAAACTTCGCCTCTTTCCCTGGCCAGCGAAAGGCTGACCAGGCCAAATGCTCACGACTGCTCGCATTGCTTGGCAGCTCGACCCCGTGATTTTGACTTTTGACTGCAACACAAGCTTCGCTGAAATGCGACGCTGAGGCATCAACGCTGCGGTTCAACGCACCTGGAGCCCGACGGCGGCGAAGTTGGTGCCTGGCAGAAATACCGAGTACTCGGGCTCCAGATCCTGGCATGCATGGTTTGAAGACAGTATGTGGAGATGTGAAACAGGGATTCAAGCATGCTGGGTGGCAGTCGCGCTCAAGCATGCGTGCATGACGCCCAGCGGTCTGCGCGACAGGCAGGAGCATCCCGCCCCCCCGCCGCAGCCGCGCTCCCAAGCTTTATGGCGACCAGCACTTTTGTGCGCCGCACAGCTGCACCTAGGGGACGCCGGCAGCGTCAGGAGTGGAGGCCCAGGGGTGTGGCCCGAGTGCCGCTCGTTGCCCTGCACGCAACAATGGCAAAACCCAGGCAGCTGGGCAACAAATGAGTTGTGCGCGCAAGGCATGCCCACCTGAGCGACGGTCGCGTTGGGGCCATAAATGCGCACTCCCTTGGCGCGCAGCTGGGCCGCCTGGGAGTTGAATTGCGTGAAAACCGCCTCCCTGACAGTAGTGCACACGCGTGCGTTGCAGGGGCTTGCGCTCGCAGTGTCGAAAAACTTGGTCTGCCAGCCAAGGGGTTGGGTGCACAGAGGATGTTTTCAAAGTGCGGGGTGCGGCAGGCCCGCCTTTGGTTATGGGTCTGCCTCACTGCAGTACGTGGCATTTTGCAACCAGCTGCACGCCGCAGCAGTAACCCCGCCGCTGCCTGAGGCCTGCAGCGATGACGAATACAGGATACAGCCCCTGCATCTGCACAAGTTGCGGCTGCTTTACGCCGATGTCGGCCCTCGAAACTCACATCCACGACGCTGACAGACCCCTCGGGGTCGAACGAGGTCGCCTGGCCGTAGCTGTTGGGCTCCGCCTCGTTCGACGCCAGCAGCGTGCCGCAGTCTGCGCTCCACGTCAGCGAGTCGGGCAGGAACCCGAGGGTGGTGAAGCCCAGCAACAGGGGGGCCTCCCCGACAGCGAAGAACCAGGCGCGGCCGCGCAGCTGGGCGTTGGTCGACGTCTTGTAGCTGACGCTGACAGCCAGCTTGCCGTTGCAGATGACGATGTCCGTGACTTTTGGGTGGAGTGTGTTTGAATGTGTGTGTGTGTGTGTTTGTGCGTGTGTGTGTGTGTGTGTGTGTGTGCAATAGTGGGGGAGTGCGCGCACAAGCATGCGCAACGTGCATGCATATGTGCGTGTACGCTTGTGCGCATGTGTATGTGAGTGTGCGCGCGCGCGTGCGCGGTTGTTATACACGCAGGTGCAGATGCAAATGCCAACCAGACAGCAGTGCGTTGTAACTACACCTGTGCCTCATTGCCTTCCTCGGCACTCAGCCGTCAGCTCCATCTGCCGCGGCCCCCCTCTTCCTGCGAAACAGTGCCCCTGTGCCGTCTGTGATTCCCTCTGTGTTCCCCTCCATACATCCGACTGCTCACCCTCTGGGGTGCCGCCCGCCGGCTTGTCCAGAACAGCAAAATCGATGGTGCCCTTCAAGGGCAGGGTGGCGGGAGCGCCGGCGGTGCCCAGCGCTGACGCGCTGAGAATGTTGACCTTTGCGCCGCCGATGGCGTACACCAGCTTGTTGGCGTCATCAAACACCACCTGCGGGCGGCGATGACGACGATGGCCGCGGCCGTGGGTGTGTGTGTGTCGTATGATTATGTGGCTTTGATTTTGCGGGGGGAGGGTGTGAGCACACGTGCAAGCGGATTTTGAACTCGCCCACATGCACGTGTCGGGTAGACCCGCGCATCACACTCTCCGCTGTCGCGCCGGAGGCCGCCAGTTCGGCCGAGACTGCACCCCACCTGCTCCGCAAGCGCAATCGTGGCCTGGCCGATAAGCTCAAGCTTCACCGCCGGGCGCACAAACTCGGGGAATGTCACGATCACGGGGGAGGCGCACTCCGCGGCGCTGGCGACCACGACCGTCAGGTTGGTGGCGCCGGCGGCGCAGACGGCAGTGCCCAGGGTGGAGACCGCCGAGGCGGGCAGCGGCTGGCCGTTCTTGGTGCTGGGGGGAAGGGGAGGTGTGATGAAGTTTGCACGCAGATTTTGAAGAGTTTCGGGGAAGGGCAGTTGGGGTTTTCTTTGCTGCTGAGGGTTGTAAGCGGGATGGAATGCAGGTTCAGAGCAGGGGAAGGGGGGTGTTGCCTTCCCCAAAGGAAGGAAGCAGTAAGCGCGCAACGGACTGGGAAGATAGGGTGCAGCAAGGGAGTGCGCCCTCAAAGGGACTTCACAGTGTGAGCAACACTTGTGGGTGCCCAACCCGTGAGGTCCTTACCTGGGGCGAACAGGCACTCCTTGCTCCCCTTCAAATGCCGCATCCACCCCTCCCCCCATCTCCACAACAGTCCTATCATGGCGCTCCCATGTGCTGCAGAGCGCCCAGATCCTGCCCACCATGTGACGTCTGCGGCGGTCAACTTGGTGCCCCTGATGCAGGGGGCCTTGGGGGTGCACGATATGCCGGTAGCACCGCACTCTGCCAGACAAGATGTGAAAGAGCGTGCGCAAAACACAGGGGAGGGAGCGAACAAGGCGCGTCTTGTGAAGACGAGCGCAATCATTAGTCAGCTCAACATGCACTTTCATGGCTGACGTCTTGGTGCAAACAGGGGTCCCGAGAGGCACGCGCCACCGACGCCGCCAACGCTCTGCCAGCTGTGCGTTGTACGACCTATCTGATGGGCTGCGAGCCCAGCGCCCAGGCCCGCGTGATCGGCTGCAACTGCTGGCACATGTTTTTCCCATCGCTGGCGGCCTCTCGTGTGTTGCGTGCGCGCACCGTTGAGCGGCACCTCCCCACTGACGCAGCACTGCGTCTTGGTGGACTTGATCTTGGCCGGGGTGATGGAGATCTTGCACTTGCCGCCCGGGCACACCTTGTCGATCGTCTTGCAGGTCGGGTTGGCTGCCACGTCTGCGGCGGTGCAGCGGGGCGTGGCCGGACAAGCTACTGCGGCTGCAACATCGTGTAGGTGCGTGCTCACGCATCACTGCTTGCCTGGCGCTGAGAGCGTGTGACCCGTGGGCATTAGCCATGCCCGCTTCTTGACCAGACGGTTGGCCTCAGTCATCACGAGCACCACTGTATAGTAACAGCGCATGCCTCATCCAGCCGTCGCCGATGCCTAGTCAGCCCGAGAACCGTCCCAGGTTGTTTCAACAGCACACACGTGTCAGCTCATGAGGATCCCGTGCTACTGCACACAGCAACCCGGCCCACCAGGAATGTCCACGCAGAGCTCGTTGTTGCTGTTGCTGATGACAGTCTTGGACTTGAGGTTGACCACAAACCTCGGGGGCAGCTTCTTGGTGGCGGCCTTGTGGGACGCGGACGACACCAGGCGGGTCTTCGTAGAGTTGCCAACAGAATTGAGGTTCCACAACGCAGTCTTGAACGGCGTCTTGTTGGTTTTGCTTGCGCACGCAGGGTCTGGGTTTGGTCGTTTTGCGGTGTTATTGCGGTGTAGTTGTGTGTGTGTGTGTGTGTGTGTGTGTGTGTGTGTGTGTGTGTGTGTGTGCGCGCGCACGCGCGCGCGTGCGTGCGCGTGTGGGCGCGCGCGCTGGTGCTTGTTGCGGCAGAGAACATATGTTGAGGAGGACACAGGTCACAGCTATAGCCAGGAGTACTAGCAAAGGTACCTTGCGCAGGCCCCACATTCGCCAAATATGTTCTGGGGATCGCGAGCGCGACCCACACCAACTCGCCCCGCCCGAGCCACGCGCACCCGTCTCAATCGTCAAGGACTTGATAAGGTACTCTGACGCGCTGCTGCAGCACGCACTGCCCGCCGCGTCGCACGGGGCGGTCTGGCTGAGAAGGAAGCAGGCCTTCTGGTAGAGCAGCGCCGGCCTCGTGGGCCTCTTGGGGTCTGTCACGTTAATGCGTGACACCGAGTTGAGGACTGCCGCAAAGTTGGTCTTGCCCAGCGGCGCCTCGGTGCACTTCGCGGCGGCTGATTCCAGAAAGAGCAGAGCGCGCACACGCACATGATGAGGTTGTGCAGGGTCGGAGTGGGCAGGGGTGAGGTGCGACCAAGCAGGCGTGACGGCCGGCAGGACGCCAGGCTGGGTTACGACCACGCCGGCCGATTGCATGGGTGGCGACCACACTGGCAACCAAAAGGAGGCAGCTGGTTCGCGCCCGCACGCGTCAAGCTGGTGGCAATGAGCGTGAGCTCTTGCACCTAGTGCTCTTGCATGTTTGGCAGCCCCCGTGCAGACCAGAGCCGCCGGATTGCCATGGCGGTAGCCTGGCAGTGAGTGACGGCCATTTGCCCGCCCCACCATCCCAAATCGGCTGCGCCAATGGAGTGCCAATGGCAGCGGCCATGTATCTCATGCACTAGACGAGGCAATCTCTGACACGCGACGTTCATCCTTTCCCTCCGCCGCCCGCACCTGCAGCCACCAACAGGGCGAACACCACGGTGGCTGCGGCGCCCCGGGCAGTGATGCGTGTGGCGCCCATCCTCCTGCGCGCGGGACGCGCGGATGTGAACAATGGTTACCCAGGCGCCCTGTTCAAGCGCCGCCAGCTATGGTTGCATTGCGCATGCAGATGCTCGAGGCTGGCCGCGCAGGTGTCCCAAATTTGCGGTCAGACTTTGGTGGTGGCTGCCCGCGCACAATCTGTTCTTGCGATTGTTGCCCCGCCTCAGACCCGACTAAGTCTTGTGAAGGAAAAAGCGACGCGTTATACACGTCAACACAATGGGTTCAGCTCGGGTGATAAGTTGCACCACCGGAGTTGTACTGGCTGCCATGGCATCGCGGGTGGCCGGAATGAGCATCATGATGCCAAACGCAGCATCCCAGCCACCACCCGGGTGAATGGCGGTCCACGCGTGTGGCTACCGGTAGAATACGTCTAGATGCACCAACGAGGCACGCACCCTGCCAACCCCACCGCATCCGCGAGCGCTTGTACAACAGCAGCCGCATCACTTTGTTGGTGTGTCACCGGGCTCGGGCAGGATGGCGCAGCCCCGGCAAGCTTGAATCCCCCGCCTTGACTTGCATCCTCGACTTGTACCCGCACTTGAGCTTGGAGGGTATGCCAGTGGGCCGGGGGGTGAAGGGAATGCGGGTGGCAGCATGCGAGAGGGTACCGAAACAAGCCGACCGGGTGTACGAATGCGTGCGCGTGGGTGTGTCGCGGCGAGGCAGGGTGTGTGGCATGATGGGGGGGGTGTCCTGAGGGACGGTGGGGCGACATGCCATCGGTGCTGTGCCCCCTGACATTCGCAGTTCTCAAAACAGGCTAGCAGGGTCGCGTTGCGAAAGGCTGCTCACTTGCCATAACGACTCAGGCTCTGTCACTGCCGTACGTTGCACTAGGGGCTTGCACAATAAACTGCCCATCTGATTGCTATAGCTTCAGCTCAAGATCGAGGCTGATCGGCTGTGGGAGCCCACACGCGGAACCATCCAATCACATGTATGAGTGCGAGTGGGCAGGTGCCAGCCCCTGAATCCCCCCTTGCAGATGTCTAGGCACTTCACGTTTCGTAGGCTAGTGCAGTGGCTGAGCTCTAGAGAGGAGTTTTAGTGCTGCGGGAGCAGCATAAGCTCACCTTTTCAGGTGGCTTGGGCAGAAGAGTACGGTAGTCACCTCTGCCCCTGTTGTGCTAGCTGCACCTTTCGCAGCATCACTTTGTGTTTTGCTTGCAGCACTGTCGTGCTGCGGTGTGCTTAGGAGGGAAGTGCTCCCGAAGTCGAGGCAACAGTGGGCAGCGAACCGTCCGTCAACTTCTGAGCAGAGGTTTGGCATGGCAAACACACACGGGCCACCCAAATGACTCGTTGTGGGCGGCAAATCACTCTCGAGTGTGTTGGCATTCGTCAATGGCAAGGATGGGATGTTGTCTTAATTCGCCAGTTAATTCGGCCCGAGCGACCGGCGCAGCGAGTGTCCATGACTATGCCCTTGGAACCGGGTCTAGCATCCCATAAGGACCCTGCGAGCGCACAAGCGCCCAAGCCAACCATCTTATGCAGCCAGGCCACCTTGACCACGCACGGAACCAGTGGGTCAAAGGCTGGTCAAACCCCCCAAGGGCCTGCTTGGGGGAGGGGGGCGGGGGGCACCTCAGCGTTTCAAAGGGGCCCAGACCCACAGTACCCTAGCAGCCACCTCGTATATACTCATGCACTACGCTTGAGCCCACAAGGAGCACTGCCACCATCACCACGCACATCACATGGGGCAAGCTGAAAGGGCCGTTAGGTTGGTTTTGAAGCGGGTGCTACGCTGATTTTGCCACCCCATACACATTGGTTCGTTCATTCGCGTGTCCAATAGCCCCAACTCTTTTGACCGCATGGCACCGGAGAGCGTGCATGCTGTTGACACTCTCCAACAATCAAACTTTGTGCTCCTATGTAATTCCAATACCATCTCATGACTTGCGTGCATCATATCCAGTAGCTCTGTTGTGTGCAGGTGCGCCCTGCAATGGCGAATGCCGGTCAGGTACGCCAGGAAGACAGCACTTTGACAGCTTGCCACTGGTGAGCTGTCTACATACTTTTTGCTGGGTTTTCAGGATGCGAGGAAGCGCAACATATCTGCTGCCACCTCAATAATACTACTGCACCGCTGGGATGAANGGGGCTGCGCCGATCCAAGGAGCCGCGCCACACATCACAGCTGTCAAGCGCCTGCTGCAACTTGTCAACTGTGCAACTTGACAGCTGTGATGTGTGGCGAGACTCCTTGGATCGGCGCAGCCCCTCCNGGGCTGCGACGGCAAGGGGCCTGCATCAGTATCGCAGGGAAGCAGCTGCGACTCAAAGCAAAGTTGACTACCCAAGCTCGCCAGCTTGTCGGGCCCCCGCATATGTGAGCGCAGCGCAGGGTGCTGCGCGCTGGCTGCCCAGCCCCCAGGGGCGACGTCGACCAGCCCAGGGGGTGCATCCTGCATGTCGTGCCCGCTTAATGGCTGTGATAAGCGTCTGTGATCGGTCTGCCTGGAACAGCCGTACGCCCAGCGAGCGGCACGAAAGTGTGAGTGTGAGGGACAGCTGCGGGAGAGGAGCCAGTGCGGCTCGCACACGTAACTCGATGTCCGTGTGAGGTTTTGATGCGTGCCCATACGTATGATCACATACCGTTTTGTTTCCAAATCCGTCGGCGCATTGATCGGACCTCAACCGCAGCTCAGAACCAACACTTCTCAGCTGCAGCTCTCGTCACACTGATTAGAATCGTGATAATTAATCATCGTATATAACGCTTAATACGGCCAGCATGAGTCTTCAACGCACCCTTTCAGCGCAGGGCGCCCCGTCGCTCGACACTTTCGCCCCCATGCAACATGCCATCGGGCACCCACACAGCGCTCTTCTGCGTCGTGCGCCGAGCGGCGGCAGGCTGCGGCGAGTGCCTTCAATCCCGTTGCAAGAGCAGGTCGCGAGGAGCACAGCCAATGCCACCAGCACGGGCGTCCGCGCCGACTTGCCAAAAAGCGCTGGGCCCCCCCACCGGCCAGCCCCCACCGCGTCACCCTTCGCCGCGGCAGCCGCCGCCGCCGCGACCGCCGCTGGCGCCTCAAAGGAATGGACCTCTAAGAGATCGCTGCAGCGCCGCTTGGCGGTCGCGGTCGCAGTCCTCCTGGCTGCGGTCGTCTGCCTAGTTCCGGCTCGGGCTGGTGAGAGAGCTGCTTACAGCAGAGGCAGCCAGGGGCATCCGCTGAATCTCGAGCTGCAGCTGCAATTGGGACAGCTTGTTATGGCTGCTGCACCCCGTGCTCTTCTGGCCGTGTGTCCCTTAGTCCTCAAGTGGCGCTAGCACGTGCGCCTTGGATGAGCGGCTTGCAACCCACTCGTCTGTTCCCACCCTCTAGCTCACTCTCACCCGCCGCTCGCCACTCGCGCTCGCAGGCCAAGCCCTCAGCCTGACGCCCCGCATAACCTCAGCAGAGCTGCCCCTGACCCGGCCTCCTGCCTGGGACTACTGTTCCTGGGAATGTGCAAACGAGGTCTCGCTCGAGCGGCGCCCCAATGGCGCACTGGTGGCAAGGGTGGCCCACAAGCCCCTGGCGGGCGTGACCCCCGAGATGCTGCGGTTCTGGTTCGACGGCAACGTTGATGGGGAGATGGTGCACCCGGTCGACGGGAAGACGTACAGCCGCTACCTGGTGTGGCACCCTCGGTGAGCCTTTGATTTCAAGGTGTGGGGGGATGTGCGGGGGTGCCGGCAGATCGTTGAGTGCCACAACGCAGCAGGGACGGCAGGGGATGTGGGCGTCACGGGACGATACATGCAAGCCGGGGAATGGGACCCTGGATGGCTGCGTTTCATAGCGACCAAGACGCATCTGTCTGATGGACACGCAATGTGTTGATGGCCTTGCAACCCCCAGGGACCACATTGAGCAGCGCACCGTGTCACCCGGCCGCGGCGGGGGCCAGGAGGGGGCCAAGTGGTTCATCAATGAGTTTTTCCTTTCAAAGAAGACAGAGGGCTGGGTGCGCGGCGACGACGCGAAGGAGTGGTCCGACCAGGTGCGCCGGCAGAAAGGCTGCTCTGATTCGGCCGTTGGTGTGGTGGCACGCAGATTGGAGCAGTGGGTTGCCACTGCCATCCTCTATGTGCCTCTCACACACCAGTGCATTGTTAGTGGGCGGGTGTCAACAAACTGATCTAGATTTGTGCAACGACAGCTATCCCACCGACCGCCAACTGCCAACCGCCGCGCAGCTCTTCACCAAGGTCGTGCTGACTGTGCAGAAGCTGGACGCCTCTGGCCTGTCCTTGGCTTTCCAGCTGCCCGGCATCGGCGCCAAGCCCGTTTCGCTCACACATGAGGTGCGTGCAGTGCTCCTTTGGACTGTTTTTGTTGCTGTGCTGCTGAGGAGGGACGCAAGCAGCCGGTGCAGATCTATCATCCAAGATTCGGCCTCGCAGTAGCAAACAGCTTGTGCATCGTGCTGCCTACCGGGTTCATCCACTGCCAGCTGCGACGTGGCCATGATCCATCAATTGACATTGTTCCGCACGTGTCTGCCTTGAAATGAAACCATTCAATTGCAGTGGTCCACGACGCCCGAGGGAGCAGCCCTTGTGAGCACGATGTACATCGGAGTTCCCAACGGTGACGACCCCGCGACCAAGGCGCTCAACTCGATCGCGAAGAGCATCTTTGCCTGCGGCGGGGACGCCGAGGCGGCGGCGCGCGCGTGGCAGCTGCACTGCCTCGAGGAAATGGGTAACACAAAGTTTTTCCTGCCACAGCTGTACGCGTCGCTGGTAGCTGGTGATACCGCTGGCTCTGTGGGTGCCAGCATCCCTGCCCAGTGAGGCGGGCGGGGCTGGCTGCCGCCCCAGTTTCGCGCGGCAGCTACAGTACTGTTGCGACAAAGCATTTTGTTTGTTGAACATCACGGCGGGCCTCGTCACCGCTGCGCACTTGATCCAAATTTCGTTCCAAGGGCTACATTCGTTTCCTGCAGGCTGCTCCCAGCGCCACAACTGTGGTGTGATATGGGTGCCCCCACCAGGCCAGACTTCCACAATTTCCAAACCATTGCCGCTGCAGGAACTCGCTGCATTCACAAAAAACGTGTTGCTTTACCTGTCTCGTTCCCTGAGAGCCTTGCACAGAAATGTGCAGCAATACAGTTTTGCACATTACAACCACGTGTGGGTGGTCTCTTGGCATGCCTAGGGCAGCAGGAAATGTTGTCGCGTTGCCAACATTGTAAAACCTGAAAATCTTGTGGAAAAAGTCACGGGTTTCGGGTACGGGTCGCAGGTTGTACACTGCAGGGGTGGTAGGAGTGGGCGTTGACCTCCCCACAGAGGATGGTAGGTGGAAACGTTGGCAGTTGCGAGCGACCAAGGGGGAGCATCTGCTGCTGAGATATGCACTGCTGAATGTATTTGTTGATGAAGTGGCATTCACTAAATATCAATTTTCCTACGCAAGATTGGGAATGGCACCCTGCCTGTGGTGCGCAAATGGGTCACATACATACTGTATATGGTGGTGTGGCGCTGCGTCCCGCGTTGAATAGATTTCTACAGGAAAAAACGGGATGCCTGGATATGGTGGCCTGCTTGTCGCAGCCATACGGTATGAGAGCAGCCCAAAGTTGAGCAATTCAGATGGCATTTTCAGCACCGCCACCTGGAGCAGCACGAGCAGCTCGAGGGTCATGGCACTGCAAACACTGCGTGCATGCCAGGCTTTGCTGCATGCGCCGGGCAATCACGCTGCTTGTAACGTGACCGTTGCGTTTGGCCGAATAATCAGCGGGTTCTCTGGTCGTGCGCATTGATCACCTGGTCATAGCGGTCTTGTGAGGCGCATCGGAGGCACACCATCGATGGACAGCGAAAGCCGGGTGGTGGCAATCGCCACAGATCTGCAGTTCGTGCTCAACGCGGGCCCCAAGCCGCAGAGGCTGGTGCACACAGCAAGCACCGCTTCCCTTTTGCCCTGCAAGACCGCCACCAGCAACCCTCAGAGGCGCATTAGAATCGGAAAGGTCGCACCTTTCGCCTCCATGTTCATGGCGACTGGCAGCGGCGGCAGCAGCCCTGGTGAGTAAGATCATGTGTCATTCCTCCGAATCACGGCTGCTTGGGGCGTCCATTGGGTTTGAAATGCAGAATTTAGATGCATCAAAAACTAATAAGCGGCCATCATGATGGGCGTCATGCAGACACGGCGACGCGGGCCATGCCAGCGTTCATGATTGCGTCGGCGGCGCCTGCACGCCCGGCGCCTGTCGACGCAGCGGCGTGGCGCGTGGTGCTCGCCAACCTCCTGGCGGGCGCGGTTGCAGGCTGTGCGGTGGAGGGAGGTGAGCGGGCGGCTCATGAGCGGCGCATGCGGCGCAGCCGCGTGCCCAGCGCTGCGCTCGATTGAATTGCAAACGAAAAACAATACCGCGTGGCCCCGGCTCGGCTTCTTCTGTCAGCGCATTCCGGGGGGTTCTCGCAGCCGTCAGCCACAAGTCTCCTCTGCGCCCCGCGCCCCCGCCGCCGCGCCACGCCCGCAGCCCTCTACCCCATCGATACGATCAAGACCCGCCTGCAAGCGATGATCGGCGGCGGCGGCTTCAAGGCTCTCATAGAGTCTGGCGGCGGCCGGGGCCTCTACGCGGGCGTGTGGGGTAACCTGGCTGGCGTGGTCCCCAGCAGCGCGCTGTTCATGTCGGTCTACGAGCCGGTCAAGCAGATGGTGCGCATGGTTTGACCACGCGTTTGACCGCGCCCCAGCGTGTTGGAACGGGCGCGGTGCGGCAGCAATGCAGGCCGCGGCGATGCGGCTGGCGCGGACAACAGGGGTGCCGCAAGCTGCATGTGGTGCGGAGGCGGCGTGTTCGGCAGAGCACGCTAAACCTTGTTGCATGGTGTGTGGTGCGGTGACGTGCCGCCCGCTGCGCCGCGCGCGCCCTCTGCAGGTGTACCGTCGCACCGGGGACGAGGAGTCCTTCTGGGGCCCCGTCCTGGCGGGCGTCGCGGCCGGCGCTGCGGCGAGCCTCACGCGCGTGCCGACAGAGGTGGTCAAGCAGCGGCTGCAGACGCGGGAGTTTGCGGGCGCCATCACCGCGGTGAGCGGGCTCGACACTTCGCTTTCTAAAGCATCGGGCGGCCCGCATGAGCGAGAGCGCCATGGCTCGGGACTCTTGGCCCCCTGCGCCCTCCTCCGCCAATGCAGTGAACACCCAACACCCACGCGGCGCGACCCGCTTCAAAACCCCGAGCATCGCCCGCATGCTCTCAGGAATGCGACCCCATCCTCTCGCCCCACGGCGCTCCATCCGGCCTACCCCCTCCTGTCCCCTCTCTTTGCGCAGCTCCGCACTATCCTGGCTAAGGAGGGCGTGAGGGGCCTGTACGCCGGTTACGGCGCATTCCTGCTGCGCGACCTCCCATTCGACGCCATCGAATTCGTGGCATACGAGCAGGTGCGCCTGCGCCTAGTGTCGCTTGATTGGGCCCGGCCGGCGCCGTGCGGCCGGCCGCGGCCGAGCCAGGCGACCAGCAGGCGGCTGGCGGCTGGCGGCAGGCGGCGCCGTCTGGCAGGCGGCGCTGGCAATGGGTGCTGCAAAGCTCCAGGTCTTGCCTCATGCGTGGTGCCGGCGTGTGTCCTCTCGGGGCGCCTGCTGACCTTGACCCCTGGGCTTTGTGCCGCGCCCCCCCCCCTGCCGCCTCGCCGCGCACAGTTCAAGCAGGCGGCGAAGCGCACGCTCAAGCGGGACCCCAACGCGGTGGAGGTATCTCTGATTGGCGCCCTGGCCGGCGGCTTCACCGGTGAGACGCGTCACATGCCGCAGCGGCCGCCGCCTCGTCGCAAACGGCGGGCGCACCCGCTTGGGCGCAAGGGGGCGTGCGGTTTCGGGTTTCTTTCATGACCTGCCACGGGGTCCGCCGGCCCCCATGGACCCTTTCACACCCCCCGTCAAGCTCACGCCGCTTAAATCTCGTATTTAACAGCCGCCGTGCCCGCTGTACACCCCATCCACCCCGCCC